GGTTTGAACTGCCAATCTTGTAGTTTGTGGTCCAGTGCCTATCCTACAGAGCCACACCAGAAGGCTATATATGTATGGTGTGGTACTGTGGGTTAATGCGCTGGACTGCAAAGTTTTAATTTCATACAAAACCAAATCAAAACAACTGCCATTGAGTTGATTCCAACTCATAGTAACCCTGTATAGGGTTTCCAAGGAGTGACTGGTGAGTTTGAACTGCCCATCTTGTGGTTCAAACTGAGTTTGTGTTCCAGTGCAGAGTAGAAAGCCACACCTTTTTCCCTTGGAGTGGCTGGTGGGCTTGAACTGCTGATCTTGTGGTTAACAGTCTAGTGTGTAACCCACTACACTATAAGGGTTTAATGTGTGCTGTTGAGTCAGTTCCAACTCATTAGGGTTTTTGAGGAGTGACTGGTAGGTTTGAACCATTGACGTTGTGGTTAGCAGCCCAGAGCTTTATCCTATAGCCCCACACCAGGACTACTTGTTGTTCAAGTGCTATCAAGTCAGTTCTGACCCATAATGACCCTGTACAGGGTTTCAGAGGAGTAGCTGTTGGGTTTGAACCACCAACTTTGTGGTTTGCTGTCCAGTGCTGATCCTATAGTGCCACATCAGAAGTCCTTGGGTTTAGTTGAATTCAGCTATTATTATAATCAACAAAGTTTAATTGTGGTTCAGTAGAGATGATTTCAAACACAGTGCTATTTTTCACATTAGCAATGGGTCCTCTGTAAGGTACTTCCTCAGCAAGTGTATATTCTGAGAACGTGGAACTCTAGAAGCTCCCAGTGAATACACTTTGCAAAACCTGCTTGAGATGGAAATTCTAAGCTTCTTGTGATTTTAAGATTTCTTCTAAAGGGTTACAGGGCCCCTTCTGACTCTACCCTTAGTCCTCTGGAATCTGAAAACCAGCCTGTAAATCCATCCTTGAATCACTCTTGGAGGCTCCTGCTGGCGCCTACGCCCTCTTGGTCATTGTTTACCACTTTGCAGGTCCTGGTCCTTGAGTTCAGAGATGCCCACATTCCTTGCTCATCCACCCAGGATCTTTTCTATTTAGGTCTGGCAGTGTGTATTTAAAAAGCAAAACAAAACAACAACAACAAAAACAACAACACTAAAAAACAAAAAAAAAAAACCAACCCCCAAAAACCGGATGGGAGACTCTAAACTTTCTTTCAGATCTAAATGATGATGAAACAGTCAGTCAGAGCCTGAAGTCCCAGAAAAGAGGACAGAAATTGAGTTGCTCGTCTTTGGAAAGAATGAGATGATATTTGAGAATGTGCTGAAAAGGAAAAATTAAACCTAAACCTTTTAAAAGGAAAAATTAAGTTGAGTCAATTACTTTGTCTTTTATTAAGTTAGACAAGGCCAATTTTAAAAAAATTGTCCCAATTGCAAAACATCCTGTGATGCTCATTCTTGTTTTAGGGACAGAGTCAGGCAGTTGTGGAGAAATAATCATTTGGTGTATTTGACCAAACTAAGCAAAATCTCATTGTCAAAGAGTGGAATTTGAGAGCTGCATAATTAATTAGTCCAAAATTCAATTTTATGGGAAAGGAAACTGAGCCATCCATGTAAGTGTATACGAGCTACCTGAGGAGACACTTTTGGTGTGTGTCTGTAGGAACTAAGAAACTAAGCTCTCCTATCTTCATTAAATAGTTCAAGTTCCCCTATCTTCATTGAATAGTCCAAGTTTTATAATTTACTGATAAATGCTCTTTTGGCAGATTTTTCTAGTTTGTGTTCTGAACGTGGTCAAGGACTTATTTTCAAAGCTATGTTAAACAGACCTGTTATTGTTAAGTGCTCTCGACTTGGTTGTGACTCATAGTGACCCTGTATAGTGTTTCTGAGGAGCAGCTGGTGAGTTTGAACGGCCGACCTTGTGATTCAAAGTCAGGTACAGACCCTATAGCATCACACTAGAAAACCTATAAAACAGACTTAAATGTTTTTAACTAAGGAAAGGGATATGTAAACAAAAAGACTAAGATATTAAAGAAATGGATAAGATACAGTGTATTGAATGGTTTTTATGCAGAAACCTTATTTGATAGATAGCTGTAGGATCTTAGTTTTGTTTAAGAATTTGCCACTCCACTTTTTGTTTTGAAATAAATGAATGACGGCTGTATAATTATACTGCTTACTAAAGTCAGGAACCTAAGTAATGCTATCTTTGTGAATGACCTCCTGCTTAAAACTTATTTAAAATTAATGATATAAATAATCTAACAAGGCAGTTCCATTGTACATTTCTGGGAGCAAACAAAATGCAGTGTGGTTTAATAGCCAAATAGCTGTTTGATATTTTTTCCCATCTGTCTCCACATTTGGTTATAAACTGATAGAGAATTATTGAAAACGCTGCATATAAACATTAAAAGAGAGATATGGACAGTCTGAGCTACCCATTATAATCAATCTTTAGTTCTATTGTCATTGCCTCAGGGACACTCCATTTCATATCACATGTCCCTTTTGAAAAGTAATCACTAAGGCTCAAGTAACATTTAAGCACAACAAGCAAATGCATAATTTATGGACCTTTTTGGTTTTTTTAAATTTTATTTTAATGAAACAACAGGACAACAGAAAATTCTTTTTCATGCGTTAATGTTTTTCTTTTGCTCCTTCCTTTTCATTCTGCCTTTGCAGATTGGGGCCCTGAAGGACTACTACCACTTCTACCATAGCAGGACGATTAAAAGGGCAGTTCTCTCAAGCAGAGGAACCCACAGTTTCATTTCAATGGAACCAAAGGTAAGAAGAACCCATCTGGGTGGGGACCAAGAGGCAAAGCTTCTGCATTTTTCATTGGTAATATCATACTAGGAGATGGTGACCAGTATGAAGGCTCAAGTTTCTAGAGTGTCATGCTATGCTTTGTTCAAGTGCCATTGCTTTCTCTTCAGACAAGGAATAGACAACGGCTTGATTTTTGCTGATATACCCTTCTCATCTCAGTTGATATACCACCATGTGGTACCCATAGGAATGGGTTTTCTTTCTTTCTTTTTTGTAACTTTTTAATATGAATTGGGTAAAAGTTTACAGAGCAGATCATCAGTTTTCCATTCAACAATTTACACACATTTTATTTCATCTCATTGATTGCAGTTTCCCCAATGTAACATCATTTAGTCCACTTCCTCCCTTTGTTTCCTCTTTCCATTCTTCCTTTCCTAACCCTTGTAAACTTTGTCTTTGGGTCAATGCTGCATTTTTGATCTCACCTAGTTGATTAGTCTAAGGTATGTGTACCTCTCTAGTGGTATTATGTCCCTGAAAATTGAACCTTACAGTAGAGTTCCATTCCAGACCTGAAGGGTGACTAAGGGCCATAATCTCCAGGGGTCGTACCAGTCTCTAAATGGGGATGAGTTCTTTTGGAAGATGGAGAAGGAAAGAGGGAAAGAGAGATTTGGGATTTATTTAGTGTTAAGAATATCATTGTTAAGAATATAAGTGATAGTGTTAAGGAGTTCTGGTAGCGTAGTGGTTACGAGTTGGACTGCTAATATTATGGTCAGCAGTTTGAAACTACCAGTGGTTTCACAGGAAAAAGATGAGGCTTTCTGCTCCTGTCAGGATTTATAGCTTTGGAAACCCTATACGGGGTTGCCGTGAGTCGGAACCGACTCCAAGGAACAGAATCACTACCAAGAATATCATGCTTTTTTTTTTTTTTGCATACAGATCTGAGGTTATGAGAGCCATACAAGGAAGGATCTCTTCTAGAACCCTTAGGACAGGCCTTGGCTCACAATGAATCGTCACTCTTAGCTGCTATTAGTAGAGCTATGCCTTTGACCTAACTAAGTATTGGACTGTGTCTGGAACTGGTGGATACTGAGCACAAATGAACAGGTAGAAGCAGGCGCCTACTCTACAGGTTACTGTATAGCACAATGCCTTCTAGGGTTAATTGTGCATCTTTCTTATACTTTGGCTTTGCTCCAAATTCTGCTAGGTTGTACAGACAGCATATTCCAGGGTAAATCTAGAAGTAAGTATGATAAGCCCAGGCTTCCTACCCCAATTTTAGAAAAAGATGACTACTTGGAAGTGGGAGAGAGGAAATTGGGGTGAGTGAGGGACACAAGGAAAACAGACTAATAGTAACTAAGGTGTTTGAGGGCAAATTCTCCTTTTTAAGTTTGAGGAAGGGACTGACTGACTTCTGACTGAGAATTAATTGGCCGCTCAGAGGTGTCAAGTAAACAGGAAGCAAGAACAGCTGCCCCAACTTGTCCCAGTAACTCTCTGGGTTCCCTGCCCATTATTTATTGATTAGGATGCTTGATTTTCATTATGTTTTGGGTTTGCTGTGTGAGCTCATTTTCAAATAAATTGTGAACAAGTTCCTACCAGTGAGCATGGCATGCTCAGTGAGAGATTCCTCGAAAATCGTATTCCTTATTAAAGCAAAAATTAATATGCAAATTAGGTTTACAATTTGAAGCTCTGCCCTCTGTTATGTGCCATGGCTTGCCTCATCTATTATTTATTTATTTTCTGAAATATTATGACACACTGTTCATGATTGTGAAATTGTGATGTGAATAGATAAAGCACTTTCTCCTGTTGGTAAGTGCCGTGAAGCCAGTTCTGACTCATAGCGACACTCTGGGGTTTCTGAGAAAGGGCTGGTCAATTTGAACTCCTGACCATTTGGTTAGCAGTCCAGCACCACACCAGAACTTCTTTTTCTAGGTCCTGATTTTTATGCATGGGGTATAGGAATATCTCCTAATGCTTTCCCTTTGGTTGTCTGTGGGTTAAATTTTTTTCTCCCCTTCATCTCTATTCAGAATTGAATGTCTCTGGGAAAACAATCTGGGTATTTTGGAATTAGCTAGTTTTAGAAGCAAAGACACGTTTTTCATCTGCTAACCAGCTTTTTAAAAACTTTCTTGAACTTTAGTAATTAAAATGATTCCAATTTCAGACCTCTGTGCATAGTCTATGTGAATTTGAAAAACTAAGTACATGTTGGCTTGGAAGGAAGAACAAAATGTAATGAGGCATTGTATTCATGAAGGGTTTGCTGAATATGGAGCTTTTTCAATCCTTAATCTTATCTTCAGGCATCTTTTTTTTTTTTTTTTTTAAACTGTTTTATTGTGAATTGTGTGATAGTGTACATGGAACAATGTTATCTTTGCATTCATCCTATCATGTATCATTTCATTGCCATGGTTAAAATCCCCTCTTTGCTTCATCAACCAACCAAAGGGTATACCTTGTCAAGCCTGCCCCCCCAGGTCATCAGCACACAGCCTCTCTCCCTCTCTGGGTCTAGAGTCTCCAGCCACTCCATCTCTCCACATCATTGTCTCTGCCTCCATCTGTGGCGTCACTATTTCTCTGGGTAGGGTCCTGCACTCCTCTCTTTTCCCTTGATGGTCCCAGGGGCCTCCGCTTCTGACCTGCAAAGTCAACCACTCCCCTCCTTTTGTTGCAAGACATCTACCTTTACATTTCCAATCCTAACAGTCAGTCCTGATAGTAATTATTCACTGTTATACCACATGAGTGCTATCCCCATCTCCTTTCATCAGTTCTGCCCAGACAGATTGGATAGTACTCACTGGAGATTCTCCTTTCCTCCACGCCCTCTGGATCTAGGCTCCCTCTTGAAAGCTTGTAATCCAGTCACTTCTTGCCTTTGTAGCCCCCACATTTTGGGTAGCCAATGTCCAAGTTGCCCATTCCTGTTTACCCTGTGTATAGCGGGGGTGGGAATAATCCTCGTTGTAAAGATTTGTTCCCTCTTTTGAGCTACTGCATCCATAGGTGTAGGTCAAGTTCATCAAATTGTATCAGATTACATCTTGAGGCATCTTAGTCTTCATTTCTTCTTCTTTTCAGTGCATATGTGTGATCCAACAAAGACCTTGAATGCTGGGACACATAGTACTTCAAATGTCTACCCTTTCCTCACGCAGAACACATGAGATGAGCCATTGCTGGCCAGTCCAAGAATACATGCTCAGTTGATCTTTCGCCTCAAAAACAGAACACTTATATCAGGACCTTATTGTACTGCTCTCCATTTTGATGCTTCCTACCAAACCAGTTAGACAGAAGAACTACACGTCTCCAACTTGGAAGACAGAATAACACACATGGAGGATTGCACATAATTTGTTTTTTGTAGTCCTTTGCAGTTCATTCATTCATTAACTACGTTATTTATAAGTTGTTATTTATAAGTGCCGTTGAGTCAGTTCTGACTCATAGTTACCCTGTATAGGATTTCTGAGGAGTAGCTGGTTAGTTTTAACCACCAACCTTGCAGTTCAAATTGACTTTGCAGTCCAGTGCTTTATCCCACAGTGCCATACCAGACTCCAGCCCTGAGTATATTCCAGGCCCTGTGTTAGATTCTGGGGGTTCCCAGGTGTAGTAAAACCTCAAATGGCCTCACTGTTGCTCTCTATGAGAGTAACTTTCAAGGACCCAAGGAGATTTATAGTTTACAGTGTTTCCCAGTCTTAAGGAGAAAAGCAAAGAAGAAAGGGGTTTCTACTACATCCTTCCTTCTCCAGGTTCTTCCTCAAAAAGCTTGGGCCAATGTCAATATTTTTATTTTTCAATTAAAGAAAAACTTTTTAATTACAGCAAAGTTGTAAAAATGTTACAGAGAATTCCTATATATTCCCAGAATCCTTTAAAGGTGACCATCTTACCTTACTTTATCCTTCTTTATCTCTCTGTGTGTATAGTATCTATACATATGTGTTCCTACACATGCAGTGCATACATATGCATACGAATATTTATGATGTTGTTATTGTAGTTGTGGGTGCCATCCAGTCAATTTCAACTCATTCTGGTCCCATGTGACAGAGCCACTGTTCAAACATTGGGTGAGTTTGAACCCTCAATCGTTTGTTTAACAGGAAAGCACATCACAGTTGTACCAACCTGACTTCTTATAAATATATAGGTTTGTTGTTTTTGTTATGTGCCATAGAGTCGGTTCTGACTCATAGCGACCCTATACAGGGTTTCTGAGGCTGTAAATCTTTATGGGAGCAGAAAGCCTCATCATTCTCTCGCAGAACAGCTGGTAGTTTCCAACTGCTCACCGTGTAGTTCACAGCCCGATTTGTAACCACTACGCTACCAGAGCTCCTTCCATAAAATATTGTTGTTGTTGTTGTTATATGCCATAGAGTCGGTTCCAACTCATAGCGACACTGTACAGGGTTTCCAAGTCTGTAAATCTTTACTGGAGCAGAACGCGCCATCTTTCTCCCGTGGAACAGCTGGAAGTTTCCAACTGCTGACCCTGCGGTTCACAGCCCGATTCGTTACCAGTATTTTTCTGAAAATGTAGAAGCAGATTGAAGTCATGATGCTTCTTTACCTCTAAATACTTCACTTTGTATTTCAATGAGGGCATTCTGATACATAATCATATTATCGTAATGATAACCAGAAGGTAACACTAATTTAATATGATTGGCTAAATTATAGACTTTATTCAAATTTCTGGGAGGGATTACATTTAATTTTCATGTATTTCAAAGTCCCCTAAAATCTGTTATATTTCCTTCAGGCCGTTTTTTTTTTTTCCCCCTTCTAATTGTTTGCTTTCCATGTACTCCAACTTTTTAAAGCATATAGACTAAGATAGTTTTGTTAGTTATTCTGGTAGTCCATGTTACTTTTAAGATTCTTCTCCAGCACTATAATTCAAATGCATCGATTTTCTCTAGTCTTCCTTATTCATTGTCTAATTTCATATGCAT